GTTTCTTGGGGACGATGTTCTTGAACTCTGCCGACAAAAACAGGCGATAATATGGCGCGTCATCACATGCCCTGAAAATCGCCAATGCCAGCCCTCTTTCCACGACGATACTCCGGAACGGTCTGCCACATTACACATGCAGTAGTGAGTAGTCTATCTCCGCTGAGAGAGAAATCTACAGACGAGGAGGCGTCGACATTTACGGAGCACGAGGCGGACGTTGGGCATGCAGCTGGCGGCCATGGATGGAGCTGTTCCGCGGCGGGGGACTGATGGAGATGATCGATCGGGCGAGAGGCTGTGTATTAAACCTGTATCCCCCGTCACGTACCACCCGTCCGTCCGTCCATCCATCCATCATCCCTCTCCTTCCCCTGGGATCCAGCAGGAGACGTCCACATCTCGTCGGCCCGCCCGTCACATAAAATATTACTCCGCCTACTACCACCACCCTTGTTAGCACTGGTACATTGTGGCAGAGGGAGGGGCATGGGCATGGAGAAGTGACGGCTGGAATGGACGGATGGATGGACGCATGCATGCAAAAGCGGGGCAGGGAATCATGCCGCGCCAGGGAAACGGCCGGGTGGACTTTTAACTCATCGGGTTACGGAACACCACCACTTCCGTTACGTGCATGTACTACGCACAGGCAGGCCGCTGTAGCTCGCTCGATCTTCCCGTCTTTGGCCGTCTCGCGTTGCCACTTGGCCAGCCGCAAGGATATCATCTTTCATCTACGTACGTCGATGAATACGTCGACGCTGTTCAAATTCAATAACATATGCAGAAGCTTTAGTTAAGGTTTGCATGCACGTACGTGCTGCTATTTTCCTCTTGGTTTCATGTGCATAGCGTTTGTTTTCGAGATTACGGAAAAGAAGCTCTTCGAATCCACCAAATGTGCATTGTGTTTGTCGTAAATATGTGGCGAACGTTCATATGGTGATGGCATCACCACTTGATATATTCGACATACTAACTTTTTCACACACAACAACAGATGCTCTTGGTCGTCTAACCGACCGATCTACCACTGAGCTATTGAAGAATAACAGACATAAGCTGACTCCAGTTCTTTGAACTAACCAACCACAGTGCATGAGATTTGGTGTGTGGTGGTAAGGCCGTCTCTAATCCTTCCCTATAATTTAACTCCCAAGAGGTGTTAACTCTTAAGAGTTAAGAGCATGGTTAATAATACAGCCAACAGTCCACAATTAGAGGTTTAAATATGTACTAGTTTATCGATAGTTGGCCCACCTTACATCCTTACAAAGCGTTTTCGGTCTCGTGTTGCAGCTGGCTACTAACTAAGAGGCCGCTTCTCTTCTTTCCTCCTTCTCTCTCTCCTCCAACTAAATAAAGATATATTAGTCTATTTTTTGTAGCTTGCTTATGTCATCCTATTGTACTTGCTCTAAAAAAGCGAGGACTTAAAAATTGCTCACCAAATCCTCACCTCAATCTTACCTCCTCAAATAAACTAGACCCAACATGAAAGACTCTCTCCCTCTCCTTTGTCCTTCTTCCTTCTCCCTTCTCCCTTCTCAGCAACCAATGAGGACTTCTAAACTGTAGATGTTTTCGAGGAGCTACCGAGGGCCTAGAGTATACAATCTGCAAAGGTAATTTGACATAGGCTCACCGAGCACGACTTGCGAGGAAGGGGGTCATCACAAGCTGTGAAATTCATCCTCCGTGGACCACGATTTGGGCGATTCTTTGCCGAATGGGTTCGTCTCATCTTGGTTCTTCTTGTGGCACGATGTCATGGCCCGGTGATTCACCGAAATTGACGATGGCGGGCAGCAGCCATGTAATTTCTCATGTGTGCATGCTTTTCTCTTGCACATACTTTTTGTAGGTGTTGGTGTGCATGTGGTTGTGCTCTAATTGTAGCCAGGCACGGCAGGGAGGAGCGCAACCGTAGCCAAGGACAATGGGGGACGAGCATGGCAATGGCCAGGAATGACGGGGAAGACAAGAAATCGAATAATATCTCATCGGAAATGCCGAATGTTGGCGGTGTTGCACGCGAGGCCACGTACCTGCAGGGTGAGGCTTCGGCTTGGAGTCTCGCCATGGGGGAAACTGATGCTTGAGGAAGCAGACAGAGTCGCCCGAGGGAGATATTTTTAGGGAGAACTTGTTAGGCTGGTCAAATTTGAAGTGTCTTCGTGTGGAGTAGTTCTCCTTATATTATTGAGGAGTTAAGCATTTTGAGAGAAAATTTATATAGTGTCTAACTCCTCAAAACAGGTGGCGACGTGTCGTTTGTCATGCCACTTTCCTGCATCATTGAATCAGTAGGTACTAATATATTTCTTAGCGGTCATTATGTAATAATAGCCGACAACACTGGTTTGTTCAAGTCCTATAATTCAAGGTATCTAAACACAAATAATAAGTTATAGGATTTCAGGTGAAGGGTTAAAGATACTCTAAGAATGGTTAAATGGCAATGTGAACACATTGCAATCTTAGGCGCGAAAAAAAATCCCAGAGCCAATTTGTGACGAGAAGTGCTATGCGCACGACAAACTTCGGACGATGCACAAACGAGGATTAAATCTGGCCAGACATGTGTATGATTGAACAAGTCGCCGGCGGCTGGATTGTCATGTCGTCCATAAATCGTGCATATGTATCATGCATGAAGCAGTTTCGATTTGGGATAGAACGCGAGTCTGACAGAGTAGATGAAAAATGAGAAAGATTTTCGGCTCGTGGGTGCATCAGCACAAATGATTAAAAAGATTAGAAAAACTATTTTGCAGCAAACATTTTTAGTGTCCCACATACGTGCAAACTTTCATGTAAAAGAAATACTCATAAAGCTCCAGGCAAATAAAAAGCCAATGCTTCCAAAAAGTTTGTTTTAAAAGTATGTTGGAGGGTTGATTTTGTTTTAAAAGCGTGCAGCTCCAAACATGGCAGCTGCTATTTAAAAAAGCATGCAGCTCCCGCAAAAAAACATGGCAGCTGCTGGAAATGTGGGAGTAGTATTGTTTAGCACGCGAACATACGGCGCCGTGTCACGCTGCGCCACGGCCTGTGTGCGCCGTGTGCGATTGGCCGCGCGGCCGCGCGGCCGCGCGTGCTCTTTCACGGTGACGACTGACGACATGAGCTGACGATGGGAAGCATCAACGAATCAACCGAGTCCTGACCCGAATAATCTGAAATTTTAAGGGCTCCTTTGATTCAAGGGAATTCAATAGGATTTTTGGAGGATTGAAATCCTTTGAAAGTTTTCCCGCGTTTGTCCTTTGATTCATATGATTGAATTTTATCGGAATTTTTTCAATGGAATCTTTTGTACTACATTTTATAGAAAATTTAACATCCACTCTAATTTTTTTTTTTGCAATTTCTTTGCTTTTCCCGTTAAATCAAACGCTCTTTTCCTATTTTTATGGATTCAAGTGGGCATGACACTCTAATCCTATACTTTTCCTATTCCTGTGTTTTCAAAATCCCGCGAATCAAAGAGGTCCTAAATATACTTACCCGATTAATTATCAATATGTGAATGTTATACTATATCTGCCTAATAGATGTGACTTATGCTTATTATTGTACTGGTTTGTTGGGGGTAGTATTTTCCTGCCCTAGTGTTTGAAGTGTGCTTAGCTTATTAATACTTGCTCATTATTTATGTATAATAATTTTAGCCCAGAAGCTCCCCTCTCTGTATTTACGGCGCGGATCTTTTGGTCTCAGGTGCCAATACACCTTAGTTGAGATTTTTCTTTAGAAATTGCTTAAAAAAATTAAATTTTCCTGAAACATTTTGGGAACAAACATGATCTACTATTACACTCGTGTGAAAAGTTTCGCTAAGGAATGACTCTTTTCTTTATCGTACACAGTAGGGTAAAACTCTAAGGAATAACTTTCATGGTATTCTAGGCAAAAGAAAACAAAATCCACACTATGTAAAAATACTACACATTTTTGGAATTCATAATTTTTTTGGGTCCGAAGTCATTCCTTAATGAAACATTTCTTTATTCGAGTATAACACTAGATCATGTTTGTTTCTAAAATGTTCAGAAATTCACGACTTTTACAATTTCTAATTTTTTTCAATTCAGGTGCACATTGGGACTGAGACCCATTGGGGTATTTTCATTGATATATTTTCTATTTTCCCTACCAAAATGACTAATAGTTCACGGAGTTGAGTGAAAAATACTAATATACATTATTATTTTTCAGAGTTTAAAGCTTGGTAAGCTTGGAGTATCATTGTTAGTTTCATTAGCAAGCTTCAATTTTTATTTTTATTTTGCCAAAGAGTTTGAAGTTTGGTACCGAAACTACAATTGTATCATTGTTCATTTAGACTTGGAAGTTTGGTTATCCTGGTTTTTGCCATTCTATGCACTTGGTAAAGTAATTTAGTACTATTGGTAAAAGAGCACATTTAAAAAAGAGCACATTGATCATGTTGCTCTTAAATATTTACTACTAGAGTTACTCTAGCACCCAAGTCAACAATGGGTTTTTCAATGAAATAGTGGCGTGGACAAGAAAAGCAAGCATGCATATGCTACTGCATCGTTCCCACATGATAATAAAGATACACATACATTGATCTCAACTAACTAGTAGTCTCATACAGTCGAACCGGTACACATCTTGATGGACTTACTGATAGCTAGTCTGATACACCATACGACTAACAAATTAACAATACATGAACTAGGCATACATAGTCTGATACAACATACGACTAGCTAATAATCAACTATAAATTATAGGTAACTTAGCTAGTGATCCAGTACATGGCTCCTGAAGTCGTGTGTCCTGTTATTACAGTAGGAACACACGACGATCAGAGAGCATAAATAATCGAAACTTACTGCAGCTAGCATAATGATCGATATAGCTACGTGCTTAGCTAAGGACACATGCATCTAAGCAAAGTGATAAGCAGGCTAGAATGAGAGAGCATAATCAGCACACGATGAAAGGCATGCATGCATACTGCTCTAGAAGCCCCAGCCGTAGGCGCCGTCAAGCTGGCCAGGGCCCACGGCCATCTGCGGCGGCGCGCGGCTGCCCTCCAGCTTGATCTCGTAGCCGGAGGACGGCCAGTGCTGGAAGGCCCCTCCGCCGATGCCGAGCAGGGAGACGCCGGACTGCAGGCCGCCTGGGAGGAACATCGGCAGGCTGAGGTTGTCCGCCGCCTGCACCAGGCGGGGGGCCTGGAAGAAGGCCAACGGCTGCTCGACGGCGAGCGTAGCCGGTTCGTACTGCCCGATGCCGAGGAGGGTGGCATCCATGTGGGCGGTGGAGAAGCAGGGCACGAGCTCACGGCAGTTGCCGGCCGCGTTGTTGTTGTTGGCGGTGGCGCCGTAGGAGCTGCTCTCGCCGTCAGCGGCGGCTTGCGCCGCGGCCAACAGCGAGCTGGTATCCGGGAGGTGCTGGCGCGGCGCGGACGAGGCGGAGGCGCCGCCCCCGCCGCCGATGGAGACGGAGGTGGAGTCGGAGAAGCACGACGTGTCGCCTGCGCTGCTGAGTCCGTAGCGAGCCTTGCGGGAGGGGGGCACCGCGCCTGGCTTCACGAAGATCTTCGCGATCACCCACTCATCCTGGATATATACATCAACGCGTGAGCAAAAAGTGCTGAATATCTCACACCGTCGACGACGTCGTTGAATGCTACTACGAGCCTACGAGTTCTACATTCAGGTGCATGTTACTGGGAGTAGTATTATTTTTCTATTGTGAAAAAGGAACATCGTTCAAAAGTTAACTCTTTATTTAACCCAACATTTTCCAACCTCCACTTGTCCATTTATATTTTCATTGCCTATGATCAAATGTCACCACCTAGCATTTTTACATGACACCAGCGAAGAACATTAAAACAACAGCTATGAAGCAAGTAAGCCAGACTTCATCTCTGAGTAAAAAAAGAAGGTAAAAGAGAGAACTATCTGATGCATGAGATGAATGTAGAATGGGTTCAAGAGAACGCAGTAAAACACCCAAACATGGCATGCATTTACGCATCTGTAGGAATATAGTAAGCTGTGCATGCACTCGCAGCATGCGCGGGCAGTCACCGGCCAAGAAAAGATTCGTATACCTCTGCAGCAAATCTTTCACTGCACTTAAGCCCCTCGCTTACCATATCCACGCAATGCAATCAGCATTGCAACAGGCACACGTACGTACAGAGCCTGCTGCTCCAGCACCTCTAGTCTACTCGTCACTAGCTTAGCTTATCCTTCTAGCTCGTAGCCATGACTTCACACGAGAAACGTAAGCTCGCAGGTAGCAAAAATCTGCCCTAAAAACCCCCGTGACTTTACACCATTGCATCATTGCCGCCAGTACTACTACCACTACTTCCCCGGAGAAAAAACAGTAAAAATCAGGCGGCATAGGCGATGAAAAATGCAGATCAATGCTAGTGGAAAGGAAGATGAATGAGGTGATTGAAGATGGAATGTAGCTGACCCTTGTGGTGTTGTTGGGCAGGAAGTGGTAGGCGTAGACGCCCTCGAGGCGGAACTCGTGCATGACCCACTGGGTCTTCTGGCCCTTGGGGGCGCGGCCGCGGTAGAAGACGAGCGTCTTCTTCATGCCGACGAGCGCGCCGTTGCGGGCGCTGCGGATCTCGCGGTCCTTGCCGGTGGCCTTCCAGTAGCCGGCGCCGGTGGCGCGGTTGGTGCGCAGGCCCGTGGGGTACTTGCGGTCGCGGAGGCTGTAGAAGTACCACTCCTTCTCCGTGGTGGTCTTGCAGGCCTTGTCCGGCAGCTCCCACGGCTCGCACTTGTTGAGGTCGATCTCGGCGATGGCGCGGGCGCCGGAGAAGCCGCAGTCCACCACCTTGCGGAGGAGGTAGTAGGTGATGAGCTCCTCGTCCGTCGGGTGGAAGCGGAACCCCGGCGGCAGATCGCCGCCCCCGCCGTCCAGCCGCATGCCCAGAGCGCTGTACCGCTCCATCCCGGTGCCGGCCGCGCCCTCGCACTGACCTGCAAGCAAGCGTGCGCGCACCATTAATGCCGGAAGCTGCAGAACGAACGGACCCAGCTGGGCTGAGCGATCGAGCAGCGCAAGGGCCAAAGGAATGGGATGGAATGGAAGGATCAGGGCCAGTGGGAGCGTTTACCTGTGGCGAGAGAAGTGATCGAAGAGGGAGTGGTGGTGGGGAGGGAGCGGCTGTCTCGCTGGTAGCGAAGGCGCGCCCTTGTTTTATAGTGCCTGATGGCCGCGTGGTTGGGGGAGGTGGGTGAGGGGGAGTAAATGTGGGATTCGACGAATCGGGGAGGGTGTCAGCGGCAGAGGCTGCCCTTGGCCTAGGCGGGGCCCGGCCATGGGGGAGGGCTTGCTTCGTCGAGGGAGAAGTGGTGGTGCTGTGCTGCATGGAGCACTGTGGGACTGATGGAGCTGAAGCTGAGATCAGACGAGACGACGAGATGAGATGATCAGGGACAGAGAGATGCAGCTGCAGCTCCATCGATTGCTTCCAGCAATCCATCATATGCTCACGCGTCGCCCTCTGTCGCTCGGAGCTGCGCACGCGCCGTGCTCTTCTACTTGGCACGAGGTGGATAGCCTTGGTTGGGGTCGGGATTTTATGTGGAACGAACGAACAAGGCTAATCATGGGGGCGTGTTTGGTATGATGTCACCCATCGCTGGAAACAACGCCAACTCTAGTGAGGCACCGTCTTCGTTTCCTGCATATGCTAGCGCAAACTTCAGGCATCCGAGATAGGGAGTATTTAGAATTCATCTAGATGAGATATAATTTGGTCTCATTCATTTTGAAAACAAGAACAAATACAATCCACGTCAGCATAACACATTTTATAGCATCACATCCAATGGCTATAAAAGGTGAATGAGACCAAATTATATCTCATCTTAATGAGTTCTAGCAAAATTGTCCGAGAAACCATTCAAAATGGGAATCGTAACATGGTCCACTGGTCCGAGGAAAGAGCTGAAGGGGTGTTTTTCTTAGGGGAACCTGCTGCATTTTACTCTATTTGTTATAAGTTCACTGAGAACCTCCGACGCAACAATATCATGAGTCCAGAGAATTTCAGAAACATGAAACCATGCTTCACAAAGCTTATTTAAGCAGCAACTAGTGTAGAACCCTACTAGGAAGACACACATATCGCACACTCTTGGACCGAACTATGTACGATCCATCCATCGCAAATGGTAGAAAATTAAACCGTTTGAAAGAAAAAGATATGTGTGCGAAGGCCGATCCACCAGGCACGACTCAGAAATGAGATGCGTGTGCGATATACAGTATACAGTTAAGTTAGCGGAACTATTACGATGAGCGAAAATAATGCAGACGATTCCCCAACTCAAGACGTGTGTGTTGTACGGCATACAGTTCACTCGACCGGACTGTTACGATGACTGAAAATAACACAGATGATTTCCCAGCACAAGTTGTTTGCCTTACGGGCAAACTGTAGCTAGGAAGAGATTGTCTACGATTGTGGGAATCATCACACACGTGTTCCTTAGTTGAACTGTTGGTGATGTGACTTGCTTTGTCCGCGGAATAACAATATATATACTTATAAAACATGATTGCATAACTGAACAAAACATCCATTGCATAAGTAACTAAACGTCACATTGCACACCTCAATGCATAATTACAAAAACTAGGAAACGATCATCGATCATCTACCACTTTTGACTTCTTGGCATGATTGCCACCGCGGGTGCTATTACTGCCCGATCCCTAAGTGGCAAGGGGGAGGAGGCATGTCCTTATGTCAACGATCCGCCTATACATATCGTATCTTGTGTAGACATATTTGGCCGCGTAGGTGAGGTGGTCGAAGTCTAGTTTGTCCTTGCAGATCAAGTGCCGGACACGCTTGTTCTTGATGTCTTTCTTCATGATGACATTGAAGGGGTCAATGATGGCCGCGGCAAGGTCGGCCAGGGATCCTGCTTCTTTCCATTATCGATCATCTTTTTTTTGACTATATACTGCAAGGCAACAACCTCACATCTCTTTATTCAATTAAACAAAAGGAAACAAAAGTCTTGTACAAGTCCTTTACAACAAAAGAGGAAAAGAGAAAAGACTTACTTACAACCCAAACAGGGCAAGATAGAACTAACTAGGGGAGGTTAGAAATCCAAGTGAGAAGGCTATCCTTGAATTTACATTTTATCCTATGAGAGAGCAGAGTCATGTCATGAATAAAGTTGTGTCTCCAAGCTCTGAAGGTAGGCCTTTCATTCCTAAAAACCTTGCCATTCCTTAGAATCCAGATATTCCAAGCAGCTGTAAATACCACTTCAGTGAAGAAATTATACCCAAAATCCTTCCTAGCCTTTACTGCCATGTGATAAGTAGTCATCCCAGGCTGAGGGTCCCAGTTTATCTACAAATAATTCCAAACTCTGAGGCTGAAGTTGCATGAGAAAAACAAGTGGGTAACATCCTTATGGATGAGGTATGGACATAGCACACAGGAATGATCTTCCACATGCCAGTGTCTCCTCTGAAGCATATCTCTAGTATTCAAACGATCTCTTAACATCAACCATCCATACATTTTAATTTTCAGAGTGCATGAACATTTCCAAATCCAGTGGAAAATAGGATCAACAACAATGTCTTGGTGCACATGCACATAAAAAGATTAGGTCTGAAGCACCCCTTATTGAAAGGCCAGATCCAGGAATCATGTTCCTGAGAGCAAGCATATCCATTCATCATTTGCTGCAGACATTCCAGCTCATTAAACACTTGGGTAGACAAAGGAAGATGCAAGGCTGAGAGGGGCTCCTAGGAGAGAACATCAAAAAATGAAAGTTGTCCATCAATAAAAATGAAAAAAATCCTTGGAAAATTTTGACTGATGGAGGAACCATTACGCTCGACAACCCAACTATCAGCCCAAAACATTATAGACCTACCATCTCCCAACTTTGGAGATGCCAACTGACAGTATTTGTGTCCTAATTTGAACACATCACGCCACCAAAAGGACCCACATAGGCTGGTAGTATGGGGGACAGAGTCATCGAAATATGAATCTCGATGAGACCAATCCAGATTATCGATCATCTTAAATAGCTACTAGATGTTGAAGAGATTCAGGTAGGAAATGTCCGAAGTAAGGAGCACCTTTGCATTGTTGGCGGTGTCCACCATGGCGAATACGTAATCAGGGCTATTGACAAAAATTCCAAAACTTCGACAAAGCCTCATGTGTTGGCAAACATAATAGAAACAAAAAAATTCGCCCTACAATCACCCGGGAACACTATGAAGATACATAAACAATTTGGATCATGGTATTTACCCAATTTTCCCTCCACCTCTTGCCTTTTAAGGCCCGTTCATATTAAATTATATATAAAAACCTCCTAACAGTTACTAGAGCCTTTTATTATTAATTTAACATCATCAGCAACATTTTTCACATATATAATATTTATCGGTAATACCCGGTATTGCCCGATAAACTCTGAAACCCTTTCAGTTACCCCGAAATGCTTCTGGTTCCTCTCCGAACTATTTCTAATATTAATGAAACAATTCCACAAATAAAACCATGATAATCTCGTCCTACTAACACTCGGCGGAAAATGATCACATTAAGCTTGTGACCCTGTAGGTTTGGTAAAACATAGACATGAACAAAACCCCTTCGTTCAATGATCGATAGCTGAACCATGGACGTCCATATCGATCCCTATGATTACAAGAATGACATTCGAGTGAACCTATGGTCATCATGTTGATGTTCCCTTTGCTTCGTGATACTTTACAAAACCTAAGGCGAGATGTGTCGGTATCCTCTTGAGTCAAACACATGGTCACTATACTGGTCTTCTTGTTGCCTGTTTTGTTCTTCTTTCTCGTTGACATGTTTCGGCATCCCCGTGTCGTAGTCACCTGTGTCTGCCGACGCACCGAGAGGGCCCTAAGAATATCTCTCCATTGTAGGAGGAGCAAATTTCACTCTTTAGGTATCGAGTCTCTTGTCAAACTTTTCAATGAACCTGTAGGTTCACTAGTAGGAAAAAGGCCTAATGTGAAGCACATTAGTCTCGGTTTGCAGCTGAATTGGCACTAATGTGACCATTAGTGCCGGTTCAAATGGCTATGCGGGCGGTGCTCATTAGTACCAGTTCGTGCCACGAACCGGTACTAAAGAGTCTGTGGCAAGCTGTTGGCAGGCTGTGGCCCCACCAGCCCCTTTAGTACCGGTTCATGCCACAAACCGGTACTAAAGTTTCGCCATGCAGTGGTTTTTTAGTCCCACCTCGCTCCCCTAACAGGGTTTTTACCGCCTTAAATATGTTACTGCTCAAACTATCACAACCACTTGGTCTTCATTGAACTCTGTGTGTAGGATATGTGGCCGCAATAGGAATATTCGTCGGTTCTTAAACCGGGGAAGATTCCTATTAACAATTCCGATTCTACACAAAAAGATCATTGATGATCAATGTATTTTTATGTATATTTTTACATGTTTTTAAAACTTTTTTTTGTGTTCAGTATGCACCATTCAAAGCCACATCATCAACTTTCAACCCTTTCTGCCTTCATTTTCTATTTTTCATGCATTTACTAATTTGTTTTGAGCTAAATGGTGCTGAAATTGAAAAGCACTACAAATGAACTCTGAAAAGGTTGAAACTTGGCATGGTATCATCATTTCACCCACATAGCATGTGCAAAAAAGTAGGAGGGTTACGGCAAAAACTGGATGCACTTCATGTACAAACTGGACAATCTCTTTCGAAGTATCAGGGTTTCGGACGAAAACTCCACCGTTACATAGGCACTTCATTTTTTTAAACTTATTACAACTCTAGACTTTTTTGCGTTCAATATG